ACTCAGATCAATTACAGGTACATGGCTTCAAACAGATTGACAGCATCCAAACCAGATACATTGAATCAGGATGGGCTGAGTCAACATAAGGCTCAGGTGAAGTATGTTTCTGTGACAGTCACTTAAAAAGTAGATAAAATTTCCCTGTAGCTGAAAAGGGTAATGAAATTCCAGTTTTGATGTAACAATAATGCAGTGACACAGATCACTATTTCAGCAGAGAAGGAATCTCAAAAGGCCATGTCGTTCTTTCCTCAACCATGCTGGAATATTATAGGCATGTTTAAAATCAACAAATGCTTTTTAGAGTAGTATCAGTGTCATAAATGATCACTGAGGTATTCTGATAATACTGGGACTTCCAGAAACAACATCCAAGCCTTATATTCACAAATTAAATCTGATCATGCCTGTGCTTAAGTGGGTCTGTTTTATATGTATCAGGTATTGTAACGTAAATCATTCCAAGACATTATATTCTAGTAATTCTTGGTTGTGTTTTTCTGATGTATTAGTTAAACTTGTGGTGATCTTCTGAGGAAAGTACAGTAGATAGCAGAGAATTTAGATAAGTTTTCATAACAAGATTAAAGACCAGGTAAAACAAAAGTTCACTTCTTCATGATTCCACATCAAGGCCCTAATCTCCTCATTCCAGCATCTCTTATTTATGCCTCTGATGATTTCAATTTAATTGATTTGGATCTAAACTAGGGAGTGCAGGCTAAGTCACTGTCTTTTACATGGAAGTAGTTCTGACATGACACTTAATGTGTTGCCAAATCCTCGCTGGCAGCTCTTGAAATTTTGGATTGCTCCAAATTAAAACCATTGTGTGTCCTGTAGAACAGGCAGCTAATAGAGCTTCACAGATAGATTCCTCAATGCTCAAGGATGAAAAATCACTGTATAGGAGTAGAAGCAAACAGATAAAATATATGATGTAAAGGATAAGGAAGGAAAAAACTGACTTGATGGCTTTCATATGGGCCTCTAAGCTGGGATCCCTGAAGCCACTTGCATTATTTTGCATGTGTCTAGTGTGTATCCACAGAGACC